AAAAAAAAAAAAAAAAAAAAAAAAGTCCTTGACTTAGGATAAACACGACTTGGCACAATACCAAACCATCAGTGTGTTATCAGCAGCATTCTTACTCCAAATCCAAAACAGCCCTGTAATAGCTACTGAGAAGTAATTAACTCTATCTTAGCTGTAACTAGGGGCAACAAATTACCAGGCGTCCGTGCCTGACATGTATCTGTGCCTCCGTCCGTGCACCTGAATACAATAGAAAGTATCCTAACTGCTTTAGGACACCCGGGGTCTTCTTCCTCACAGGCTGCCCTGGGGCAAAGCACTCAGTAAAATCATCCACACCCTGGAATCAAACCTCAAACTGATCACACTGATCCTCCTTTGCAGAACCAAACTTCAAATTATGCAGATACAAATCCTTCATCAGCAGTTCTCTCCATAAGAAAGTCACATGGCACTCCTCTGTGGTGTTCTTTTAGGTGAAACCAGAGGTGCCAGCAGTGCACAGCACCGGGAACTCTCACCCCTTTTAGAGCTCTGGGTCCAACTGCATACTTCTAATCACACAGTTACCAAGGGATGAGATTTTGTGATGGCTGACACTATATCTTCACAGCATCAAATTTTGACTAAGATGAATATAAAGACAAAATTTCTTCTGGAATCAGTGCAATCCAGAGTTTTACTTGGGAGACAAATCAGCTCCTAGCAAAGGATGCTTTATGGAAGACTACATAAATTTACAAGACATCTTTTATGATTCCTCTTAATAGGGGCAGGGAGGGACGTTTGTTCCTCTACACCAAATAATTGATTTTGAGTGTCTCTGCAAGGAGTTAAATGTGATAAGAGCAATTATGAATTTATGCCTATGGAGCTTTCATGCTTTTTCTCACAATAAACAAATTTTTATTTTGTTAAAATTCATGAGGAAAGATTGTCTAAACTAAAAGAAGATAGAAAAAGTTGTTTTAACATACTAAAAGAGGAAAGAATTAAGCACCTACATTGTGTGTTATATGTTATTTTGCAAGTGGTTACATTTGTTATAGATTTTTTGCAATATGGCATGAAATAAGTCTCAGAGTTTCTACAGCAAAATCACATAATCACAGCATGACATGAAGTGTGACTATTGACACAGTTGCTGCCAGTTTAAAATTGGTTTAACATGGAAGTTTTTTTTTTCACTTATGAACAAATTGTTTTTCAGCTGAAGGGAAAGAATAGGATGGCAAATTCCAAAATATTTAAACTTCTCCATTGTTTATCTCATTGTATGGTTGAAGTAACATTCTTCATAACCATGTTGTAGTGGAATATTTCCTCACATTTCTAAAAGATTTTATTTTTTATTGTTTGAACATTTTCTGGGTTTCAGTAAAGTTCACAAAAGCCAGGATTTGAAGTGAGTAGTGATAAAATGCAGCTTTAGTTCTTGCTAACCCGAAATAGCCAAGAAGAAGCTCTGATGTTATTTTTATTTTTTTTGTATATTCAGGGAATACAAAAGTGATCATGATTTTCATAATTGAGCATAACAGTTCAAAACAGTGCAGAGTCAAAATGTACAGAACTGCCCTGGAATTCAATGAAGGCCTGCAATGATTCCCTGAAACAAGTCAGTGAATGTTTTTACACATCAAGTAAATTTGAGAAAACTGCAGTCAAGGAAGTGACTAAGATAAAATTTGTTGAGAAGATTGTTCTTTCAGCTCAGGTTTTGCCTGGAATTTGGATTTGCTATACTTCTTGGTATTTTCTCATTCATATTCTTCTAGAAGTCCATGGGTTTGTGTTTCTATGTAGATGTGGCAGAGACAGAGGGGAAGAGAGAGGATTGTAGCTCCAGCTCCTGTCAGCCACTCGAAAGGCTGTCTACCAATATACAGAATTGTGAACAGGAGCTGTGCTTAACAGACAGGTCGCAGATGGTACTGAACATCTGGGAATGACCCTGTTGATCTTGTGGAAGAACTCATACTGAATAGTATCCTGTTTTTGATGGGACGTTTTTAGTTTGGTACTGAATTCACGAAGCATGTGCTATGTGCAATTTATATAGCTGTGACTGACAGAGCTGCCCAAGTACAAGAGGTTTATTATAAAGTTTTCTTTCTATTGGAAGCCAAAGCACCATGGAGACAAAATGTAAGAAGGTGATTTGTGTGCATTGTAGTCCCTGCATGCAACATTTTCATCCATTCTCATTTTCTCAAGGAACAGGAAACACTTTTAATCTTACCTTTATGCATCCTGTGAATGTGGGCAAGGTCTGGGTAGAGGTTATACTCCATGTGAGATGCTGGTAATGGAAAAAAGGTACCAAAAGTTTCAATACTTTCAAAAGCAGCTGAAATTTCCTTTGTGATGTTTCTTAAACACAAAATCAGAGTTTTGGAAAAGGAGAAAGCACGATACCTTTTCCTTAGCTAGAGGGATGTTCCCATTTGCTTCCAGCAAATCGTAGCTTCCAGACTGCTATTGCACAAGTGATAAAACAAGGACATTTCCTTCTATTTCTCCATAAATCTTTCAGCTTGAATTCCTTTCTCAGAAAGGCAGTTTTCAAAAGTACAGGAGGGTATAACGCACTGTGCATTTTCTTTCAGTAGCAGGAGGGTTTCCATTACATAGTCCTGTGCTATTTATAGGCTTGAGAAAGGTGTGCAACAAACTTGTTTAGTTTGTTAGACATGGGCTTTATGCTGTTAGGTTTTCACAAATCTCTCATACTGAGCACTTCCCTTCCTCTCTCTCAATTTGCTACTGTGTGAGCAACCAACAAGTGGTTTCCTGCTATGCACACAAGGCAACATTCCTGAATGTAATGCAGTCTCTTGGTATGTTCCCAGTAGGCCAGAACATGTAAATATCCTCTGTTTTCCATTCTCTGAGCCATTCCATATGAAAATCTGGATAACAACTTAGCAAACTTGGTATTTTCTTCCCTGTTTTTCCTAGCCAGTATGCATTCCTCATCTCATTAAAACAATCTGTATTGTGTATAAATATTTATTGTGTAGAACTGATTAGAATGCTTGAAAGAACCAATGCCATCTTTGTGTTTAAAAGGGGTAAGAGTCGCGTTAGTATTCTTTGTACCGAGGGCCTGGGGATATGGTTGAACCAGAGTCATATGCAGGTGCTCTATCAGCCAGTGAAAGAGCAGAGAAAATTGGTTCCATCTTTTTGCTTTGCTGGAGAAGGCAGCAGGACAACAATGTAACACTTTGTCTCTCTGAGAAGCAGGTCTGTGTTGTTCCCTCTGGGTTTATCCACTTCACACCCAAATACATGCTGAGGTTTGACACATTCCCTGACCCTACCAGCACGGAGACCACCAGCTCTCTTGGCCTGCCTGAGATGCTGTCTTTCAGAGCTGCACAGTTGGAAGAAAAAGGGCAGAGCAGGTGCTTGTAGCTATGTGGAAGGGAATTAGGGAACTGCTTCATACTGCTTGTTTTTTTTGACACTTAGTTCTGATGTTTGTCATCAGCTTCATGTTGACACTTCATGTCAATGCTTATATAAAATATTGGAGGAGATAAATTCTACTGTATCAAAATGCTCTCTGCTCATCTTACAAGCAGCTGTAGCACAAACCTGGTAGCAGGCCACTATGTCCACTTGAATTAAGCTCAAAATAAAACATTCATATATGTTCCCTGCTCTTTTTTTTAGAAGGCCTCTTTCTTACATACTTCATTAATGGATTTTTCTTTTTATTTCCTGGGAAATCTGCAAAAGTTTAATGATTTCACAAGAAGGACATGTTAAAGGCAACACACATACTGAAATTCTCCATTTGTTTTTCTACAAATGTTTTTATTCAAATCCTCTGAATTATAGATACTAAAAAAGCTCTTCCCTGTCAACAGGCAAAAAATACTACAATTTTTAAAAACGGTATTAATTGTTTATAGTTATTACTTGACTACTCTAATTACAGTTGTTCATTTCAGAATATCTACTTGGGCTTTGCAAATGATATTTTTAAAAGCTGAGAGTGAAATATTCCTTTTAGTAAACCCATTTTTAGTTAATTGGGAAAAAAATGAATGCTCTGCTTGCATATCTTCACAGATGGGGTGACATAAGGTAGTTTCTCACACTGTGGATATTTAAAGCACAGTGCAGCTGAGAACTGAGAGGCCTTTGCTACAAAGAGCAGTGAAAGGATTCAACATAAGACAGAGGCTTACACAAGGAAGACTTAACTGGGTTGACTTTTTACTTCACATGTACTAAGTAGCTCAATTAACATTTTCCCTAATAAAATTAAGACCTTAAATGATGCTGATAAATCACCCAGATCCTCTCTCCTTATTTAGAACTCTCTACAGGCTTCTCTTAATTTGCTTCTCCTTTATGTGTATGACAAGCTTTCTTCGGGAAGCAGAGAGTGAGAGTTCCTCTAGGGTTTAGCCAAAGTTGCACTTGTATTCTTCTTGTCTCAAATGCAGCACCAACATACACACTGAGACAAGGTATTTCTGTTTCTTTATTCTAGTTTGTGCAAAGTATGAGCTAGGTGGTGAGCCACAAAAAGCTGACTCCTCAATCATCAAAATTTTACACCAGCTGTACATTTTAGCAAACAAATAAATAGAAGTTAATTGACTACAGTTATCTTACTAATTACTATTAGACCTTCTACTGGTTAAATTATTCCCTCTCTTGTCATAATAATTAGTTCACATACACAGATTTCTTTTCTCTTGAGTCAGTAGGTTTCTTTAGTTGGTGGGCTGTGAGTCAGTAGTCCCCCTCTCCCTCTGCCAGAATTACTTTTTGCTCAGCTGGAGCTGGTCTCAGCACTGTTGCTGTGTTTGCTTTATTAGTTTCTTCCTTATCTTAGGAGTTTTGCCAAAAGTCCTTGTGGCACATAAATTTTGCTTTGTTTTTG